TGAATCCCTAGATTGTTGTGCTGGTCTGATGAAGTAGGCTACCAAGTGAAAAACAGTCAAATTATAAGGACTGTTCCTGATCCTGTGTGGTGCTCAGCTCCTTTCTAAGGACCCAAGATTAACACAAACATATTTCAATCTCTTTCCCCTTCTATACAGTATTGACTAAAGCCAATAAAATGTTTTGTTTAATTATGATTCATGCCAAACGGATGTGTTTTGACAAATAGGTCCTTATCTGTCCCCAGTTCAGATAGCTTCATAGGTTGACAGTGTGCAGCTAATGGGTCGCTATTGTCAATAAAACAAAAGCGGGCAATGGCTCCCCATGCAGTGTCACATCTGCTCTGTGAGAGGGCCTCCAACCCTCTTTTCATTATTAATAATACTAGATTTCTTCTGGGTGCAGACACAGGAAATGTAATTACTTTGTATTGCCCACAAATTGTCATTTCCTAAAGTGCCATCAGGAAAATAAGAGTCATTAAAGCATGTGCCCAGCCAAGAATGAAAAGTAATAAACGCACACAGTGCCAACACACACCTATTCTCCTGCTGTGCACACACACACACACACACACACACACACACACACACACACACACACACACACACACACACACACACACACACACACACCAAATCTCTCAGGGCAAGGGCAGTGGAACAGTAGAAGTCCTTTTGTTCATCTCTAAAAGATCCAGATGGTTGATGCATTACAAAGCTCTCAGGAGCTTATTCACTTTGGTCATAAATGCACCATATAGACATACTAATGACATGGACAGAGGGTATCACTCACAGTAGCTATGGCACGATTTGAATCAGCTTCAGAAAAACTGTCCCAATTGTTCCCACAGGGCTCTCCTGAGATTCATTTGTTGCATAATTCCAAGTTATATTGCCTGTGCCCGTTTTTCAAATCAGACATTCATGAGTAATATTTAAAACTGTACGTTCAAATGGTTTATTACATCCCCTCTGCTTAATAATGTATTTGATATTCAGACACACTGCTTTGACATGTTATGATAAATTTGAATATAAAGAAAAGTATGACTTAAGTGAAGCTGATAACAGAGAGTCTCTAGATTCAACAACTGCCTGCATTACAATTCAAAGTATGGGTAATGTCAAACAGCCACCAGTTGTATATCATTTTGCATTGAGTTGCATTTTTCAGGTATTTGATGTTCCTATTGTGATAAAGAGACAGCAAGAAATAAAATAAAAAATATAGTATGAGAAAACAAAAATGTTCCAATAAACAATATAACCACAAAAGCCAAAAAGCTTTGTTTCATTCACTGCACTGAAATAAAGATGGTTCTCATTCTCTCAGTGCCATCTTGTGTGCATGGCAGTGGATTGCAGCGGTAGTATCATAGTGTAGCAGTACTGAGGTAAAACAGACAGTGTCACTCTTGGACCATCCCAGGGCTAAATACTTGGTCTAACATATGGGCAGCAGAAGGTTACTGCAGGGATAAGATAAATGGTGAGAGAATTAAAAAATAAACTGTACTTCACCCTCCTTCACAGGTTAAATTGTTAGTGGAAAGGAAAGGGTTTATCTTTACCCTGACTGTAATGACATCTGTTTGGACTTATCAAGCAGTATCCTCCTGGATATTATATTTGGATTTTAGAGATGGTATGATATTATCATTAATATTAACGTATCTAACATAATGTCTGACGTGTGGCAACAGACACATGTTGTTTGGCTCTAAATGTTTCATTACGTTATACGTCTGTGTGTATTAGCAATGCTTACGAGCAGTTTCCAAATGACAGTGGAGCAATAAAGTTGCAGCTTTGTGTAGCTCAGGATGTGTAGCTTTTATTGATACTGTGTCACAATGATCAAACATCAACATTTTACAATATAAGGCAACAATGTTTTGTCAATTAATTGTGAAATTAATCATTTTTAACTCAATTCTTTCAGTTTCAATCAATTATTAGCAACCTAAAAATAAATTGTGGTCAGGGACAACTGATGAAGTTTTTTTTTTTTTTTCTGCTGGTCAATTAGTCTTGTCCCTCACAAATAAACTATTAAAAATCAAACATAAAATATCTGGTTAAATGTCCATGTTTCCACTGCTGACTGTTTTTCTTCTATCTTTTCTTTTTGTCCATGAGCACCAACAATTCAGACACCAACAATTGGGAGTCTTTAGATAATAATTAAGTAATTTCCTTGAAAATGTACATTAGTTTTACTTCAATATTCTCCAGAGACTGTATGCTGAAGTACTTTTTTGTTTTTCTTAACTTTACTACCGCACGACCCCCCAAGTGACTGGGCAGGCTTACGTCATTGGTTTGCAAAAGCTCCATTTTCTCCACTAAAATAACAAGCTGGCATTTAGACATTTAACCACTCCGGACACTGGAAGGACTCCCTTTTTGGGTGAGAAAAAACACCAGCTTAGTATGGGCAAGAGGTGAAACGAGTTAAAAAAATGTGTTTTTAAATGTAACCGGCTTACTATGGAAGTACTCTTATCCGAGACATGCTTATACGTATGTTGATCTTTTATAGACTGTCAATGCAGTGCGGTTGCTCCACACAGCCACTCCCATTCCCCCTGGATCTTATTGTGAATGTGTGCAGTGAGCTGGCTCATTGGGCCCTCATGGTGAATGGCCCACAGCCATTCACTCAGCATACAGAAGCTCATTAGAACTCTATAGACACACAATTGTGAGACTCACATTAGAAACTTCCTCCTCTGGGGCACAGACACCGCACACAAAGTGCCAGTTTGCTGCTAAGCTAAGCTCATTGTCTTCCTGATTCATAGAGCTTGGCCCTCTATTCACGATATTAAGTTCGAGTGGTGGAATATCAATTGCGTGTCCAATGGGCCGGTATCTTTTTAAGAGCTTTAGTGGGGTTAAAAAATAGAGAAAAGGGATCTCAGCCGGTCTGCAGAGTGCTAGCTTTCAACAGGGCCATTGTGAGGATTCTGAATGAAGGGACCCCTGTTTTTTCCCTCCATTTCTAAAAAGTGATGGACATCAAATAAATTCACATGAACTTGCTTCAGGGTGTTTCCAAGACCCACTGTTTAAGAATAGCCTAATTATACCTCCCTCTCCTGGAGAGCTCTATTGGAATCTGGCTAATTACGAAGTGGTGAATCTTAATGATGATACGCTCTTAGCGATGCCTTTTAAAATGTGCACAAAGTCGTGTGAGATTGGTTCTACCTAAAATATCAATGAACACAGAGAAATACATGGTTTAATAAAAATACATGATGCTTTCAGGAGTGTTGTGAGTTTTGAGATGCTTGTAAAAACTTTTTAAATTGCCATAGTTTTGCTGGAAGGCAAATTCAAGTGGAAAGAAAGTGTGACTGTATGAATAAACTAAACAAATTTTCCTTAATGTTATCACATAAAACATACCTTGACCATAATCAGGGTCCATTCAAAGTATAAACAAATACAGTTAATAACAGTACTGGAGAACAGTCTGGGGTTCCCTTCCTCCCCGGGGTTCTTGATTTCTCTCTGTGTCATATAAACAAATGGCTCTCCACCAAACAAAAAGCCTTGGGGGACTATCACAGCCACTGGTCTATGAAGCATGTTAACACACTCTCACTGCACAAAAGTAGATAGTGCACACAGACTTGCTAACACTCATCATGTGACAGAGCGCTATGCCTTCTCCACCAGTCTGAGGAATAAAACCTCAAATTTGATTACAAGCAACCTTTGGCTCCCTGGCCATCACACAATAGGCTGAGCTGTCTGGGCCAATTTCCATGCTCAGCATGAGGTATCTACACGCGCAGACTGGAACTCCCTGTCACCCCCACACCACACCACCCGACCAGTGTGGATATGCCTGTTTACTGTGCCTAAACTCCGGGTCTGTCGCCCCTCTTGTTGGACTTTCTATTATGATGTTGGGGATCATTAGTTGCAGTGTGAAAGGTTACACAAGCCTCTCATTGGATGTGTTTGTACCAAAACATCACTACATGCATGGGTGTGTGTTTGTGGGACTATTTTTATTTTACAGTTACAACCCTCATATATGTAACATATGCCCCCACTACACACAAGACTGGCACTGAATAAATATTTAAGTGGTTGATGCTACAGCCTGTGGAGCCGCATGGATCACTCTTTTGTTTCCTACAACTGAATCCTTCCAAGACCTAAACCCCTCTGTAATGTAAATGTAAAATAGAAGTTGACTGACTAGCAAATAAATAACCCCAAATGTTGCCAAAACTGAACAAGTAACGGTTAGGAAGGTTGTCTTAAATTACATGTTGTTTTTCAATATACAACAATACTGTCACGTTAAAGAAAATATTCAAAATAACAGAACAAGCAGAATGTTATATGGAACTACTAATACAGTTATTTCCAATTATACCAATCATGCAATTGCATACAACTGAAAAAAGGTAAATACCAAATTGATTAAGAAATCAAACTTCCTTTACAAAGATAATTTAAGTAATCTTGTAAGGCAATCTAAGATGGCATGAGATGGTGTTATTTTTAAGAAAAAAAGATCAGAAGACGTCTAAAAAATTTGATTTCATTATTTTGTCAACCCATACTAACATGACCTGCTTTTGAATCATTTTGCAATCAAGAAAACCCTCACTGAGAAATGTTTCTGAAATGAAACTGAAGAAAAAGCACATTGCATATGAACTGCTGAGGCGTTTGTATGAGGCACAATGGGAGGCTGGAGAAAAGAGAAAACTATTTACTACTGGAGAAGACTGTTTGGTGCATGTTAAACTTTGGCCAGCAGTTCATTGTCTCTGGTGTCTATCATTTAATAGGCTAGTTGACATAATGAATGAGCCAGACCCACCTTCTGCCACTCTAGAAAGGACCGCAGCCTTATCTGAATTGAGAAGCACATTAGAGCCTCTTAGCCAATCACGACACAGCCCCGTAGCAAAGTGCAGGCCCGAAAGAGGAAGAGCAGAAAACCTTTGTTTTCCTCAGAGTTTAATGAAGTTGGCCTGGTCACTCAAGAGGGGATTAAAGGAGAATTTAGTGTCACTGAGCTGTGACTGCTGAAGAGGGAACTCAAGTGTTCGGGTCAGTGTGTGAACAGGATGGTCTCAGTTCAGAGCTGCACCAGGAGGAATATGGCTGGCTCTCCTCCTGCTTTACCGGGCTTCGGGAATTCGGGAAAGAGTTTTCTTATTGACAATCTGCTGCAGTCACAGACACCTTCAGCCTGTCCGGAAGGGACAGTAGGTGGACACCTGAGACTAGCAGCATGTGAACGTCCGAGGAGAACCTGGGGCTCTGAGCACGGAGCCTACCAAAGCCAGGCCCACAGTCCCCAGCAGGTGAAAGACTTAGGACAACTTCTGCCACATTCAGGTAAACACATTTTTTTATAAGCAGACTTAAACAAGAGTTAGTTTAGATTAAGTCAAGGGTTACCAAGTTATGTCATGATATCAAAGCAACAGTTTGACTTAATGACAGGAATTTTAGTTTTTTCTTTCACAAATATTTTATTTCTTCTTTCTAACTGGTTAAATTCATGAAAAAGAAGAATATTGTTCAACTCAACTTGTTCAACTTGTCAATTTTCAAACATTCTCAATTTTTCAGGCAGGAAATTAGTTATAGGTCAAAAGTCTGAAAGATTAGATATTATATAAGATTATGTATTAAATGCATCTTTTTAAAATGTAATGCAAACACTGGCTTTTTTTTTTACTTAAACATAAAATAATTTAATTAAGAAAGAAAGACTATTAACCATTGGAATTTCCCTGCTTTGCTTTAGCAAATATTTCTTGTTCACATTACTATATATTAGTGAAATAAAGAAGAATTTAAATGCCTATTTCATAACTTCAATTATGAACTACATTTTAAAGTGTAAATATAGGTCTGTGTAAGACATGTATGTGCTAAATGGGACAATCTCACTTGAGAAACACATTTTAAATGATTGAGTAATTTGAATGAGATAATATAAAAAATATAATAACAAAACAACATAAGTAACAAAAAACATTTTATAACCTTTATATTTAAAAACAGATGACTTTTTTATTATTAGTTGATTATTGACTTTTGATAAGAAATTACAATGACTGCAAAGAAAAATCTAACATTTAAAATGTAATAATTATAAACCTGTGCCAACACAATTAATTAATAGAACCCAACTTTTATATTTCAAACTGAATTAGTAAATACTTCTTGTCTCTTAGATGGGCAGTTTTCAAATAACATTTAGCTGTTAAAACACCTTATATCAAATAAAAATTGTTTCATCTCTATGCATCACCTAAAGCTTAGCACAACTATAAAAATGTAGATAAAAGGAAAACTGTACAAACTGGAGAAGGTATGACTCCAGATGTAGATCCAAGTATTCTGTGGGCCACCTGTCACACCTTACTACAAGACTGACTGATCCTATCAATTTTTGCAGGTGTACTGAGCAGTGTTTTCCTTCGGAGCCCGCAGTATCTGCTGGCATGCTGTGGTGGGTCCAGCCCCCCTCCTGTCTTCTCCAGTAAGTGTTTTATGCCTCATCAGCAATGCCTGAGCTACTCTCTAAGCATTAGCAGCAGGGTCTCTCATGCTCTCCACAGCTAATTACGGATGCAATGCCAAAGAGCTAATTCTCCGCTCAACTCTGCACAGCTCTATTCATAACCATTCACGGCTGTTTAGGACGGGGAAGAGGGGTGGGTTGCAAGGCCTTTAAGAGTCCCTGGGGCCCCCCATTTTGTACTTGCAAATACACACTTTTAGTAGCGCAAATATGCAGAGCTAATAAACATCTTGTCTTCTGTCATATTAAGATTATAATTACCAGGTGTGGATTCTTACTGCTGAAAGAGGCAGATTGTTTCAAAACTTAGCGCCTCAGCGCATTAATAAGTTTAGTTGTGAATCCCAACATCTTCAAGTTAAATTTTCACACTGCATACAATTTGAAAACCTGTAATTGCACCTGAAATGTTTTCCTAAAGTGAATTTCTAGTTAATTGTGCTTGAAATGTTTCAGTTCATATCATTTAAAATGTGTGTAGGCTACTAGTACTTTATTGTGCTCTAGTAGTACTAATTAAGACTAGCAGCTGTCGCATTTTGGCATTGTCCCACAGCAACTGGAAGTTATTAGTTGCTGAAACCTATGATACCTGTCAAATGTTGTGGAAAAAAGCATAAATCAGAAAGCCTTCATCCCACATGTCCCTGGAGTCCTCTTAGTAGGCTGACACTTTCCCACAGTGCCCAGCAACACAACAATGCCAAGTCTGGCCGTGACCAATTGGCACTTTCACTCCACCATCCACACGCGACCTCACTGCAATTTTTCACTGCAGCAATGAACTCCGCTTAGCACAAAAAACTTGCCCATTTCTCTACAGAAGAGGGCTGGACCAGGAACATCCCCCAGCCATTGTGTGACTAAAGAGCTTGGTTCGCCGACCCCCCTCCTTTCTCCTGTCCTTCAACTCTCATTCCTGCCCATTGGAGACTTCTTGACTAGGACATAAAGCATTCAATGAAAGTGACTTTTATAGACTTATTCGAGCTCATCTTCACATACAAACTAGCTTCATACCTGCAAGTGAAAAGATTTAGTGTTGGGCCAGTGAGCCATCGAGTAATGGCATTTCCATTGAACGGCTCTATTGTTGGTGTCACCCAGGGCTCCAGAGTTGGCCCACTAGGGTAGACACACACGTTGCCCAGGAATGACCTAGTAATCAGCTATTTAAGTGAAAGCCATTGAGTCCCAATAGAGGAGTGAGAAGCATGTCCAAACCTGTTATGTGCTCCCTAGAGGTGGTCTATGTGCAGATTTGTCGTACAGATTAAAAAGGCAATGTTGAATGGATCAGATAAATTGTTTCACTTGACTTTTGTTGTGAGTGCACCTGTGAGTGAAGTAGCGTGGGATTGCCTCTCACACTTCATCAAATTCCTTTTTCTCAGTTGAAGGGGCTTTCTATTCTCTTTAGTCACCCCCAGTTTGTTAAATTGGACAAACAGAAAAAAAGAAATCAAAAGTTAGTGATAAAGTGAGTGTGACAGAAACAGCCATGATCTTGGAGGAAGGAAATGTGGTATGGCTGGTAAAGTGTATATTGATTGTGGACACAGTTGGATTTTGTACTTTTAAATTAAAACGGTCAACATCATGAAACACTTGGGAAAATTATTCATAGCCGTCTTAGCCAATGAATTCATCTCAATTTACTACACACAACTTCTGTTTTTTTCCCCTGGCTGGTACTTGGAACCTCTGTACCTGGTTTCAAATGAAGCTACACTTTTTACAATTGTGCCCACTGTCCATAGTCCACCAATGACGATTACTAATCAATGACCCATATCTCACTGATGTTGACATAGTAACCTGGGTCAACAATTTAACATATATGTTGTTGTTTTTTTTCAATTTGTGTTTCAGAGGGAGCAAATATTCAAATGTGGTCTGCTGATGTAAGTCCTAAATCACGCAGAGGGATCCTTAGAAGGGCTGTGTTCTCTGAAGAACAACGGAAGGAGCTGGAGAGAACTTTTCGGAGACAAAAATACATCAGCAAGACAGACCGGAACAAACTGGCAGCTGATCTCAGCCTCAAGGAATCACAGGTAATTGAGTATGAATTACAATTTTGCCTGATTAATCTCAGATTCTAAAAGAGATCAAGCACAAACAACATATCCTCCTGCAACTGCAGTCCTTGTTGAACAAATCCTAAATCTAAATGAACCCTAAAACCATCATTTGTATTGAACAAATTGAAATTTTGACCTGATGATTGTGGTAGATAGAAACAGATGATCACCAAAGTCATTACAGTTATTCATCATTTTGAGGAGGAAATGAATATCTGTACCAAATTTCATGGAAATCCATCCAACAGTTGTTGAGACATTTCACACAACTACCAATGCGAACCTCATTGTGGTGCTAGAGTAAAAATCAGAAGCCACGTTTCTACCCAAAGCGCCCAAAACTTTTAGTCCCAGAAACTAACTTTCAAGGAATTAAAAGTTTCCTTCAGCCCACTAAAAAATTTGTCAAATTAGTCAGCTGACATACGAAAAACTGATAGCTGTTTTTACATGTCGTTTTTTCACACGGGGCAGTTGTGGCTCAGGAGGTAGAGCAGGTCATCAACTAATCAGAAGGTTGACAGTTTGATCCCCAGCTCCTCCTGCTGCATGTCAAAGTGTCCTTGAGCAAGATACTGAACCCCAAAATTTAAAAAATAATAAGAATCTTGCAGATTATATTTTTGAGATCGTGTCGCAGGCCGGAAATGGTCAGAGCCAACAGTCTGAGATCCCTGGACTAGAGGTAAAGTCAGTGGGATTCTTCCTCTGGGAACCAACAGGAATTTGGTGAACAGACAGACATACATTCCCACCCCTAGAGCCACGACTGGGATGGCTTGAAAAAAAGAATGGACTAAACAAACTGAACTAAAATGCCTCTCCATTCTCCTGCTGGTTTAGGTGAAGATTTGGTTCCAGAATCGTCGAATGAAGTGGAGGAACTGCAAGGAGAAGGAGGTTCATAACACTCGCTCCCCAATGGACGAGCTCATGGCTCAAGGTCTCGCTCAGGAAGAGGAAGAATCATCACAGAATCACACTGATGCAAAAACAGAGCGATCGCCACCACAGAAGAGTGTCAAGGACACATGAAAGTATGTGAGAGAAAAATAAACTGATAACTCTCAAATTCACAAAAACTTGTAAGAAGACTTCAGTATTTGGAGGGAGTTAAAAATGTGGGATCTAGTCTATTAAGACTAACACTGATAACATTCACTTTTCAATGCATGTAACTGTTTTGCTGCATCATAAATGTAATTAGGTTCAGCTGCTCATTCAATCATCTTATTGCATTTCAGTGGCTTCAGTAAGCAATTTATTGGTACACTGACTAGACTTTCCAGGAAACAATCCCACTCATCAATTGTAATTGCAATCAGTTAAAGGCACAAATGAGTCACGTCATTTCATTAATTACATATCTTCCTTTTTTTTTTACTTTTCATGTTTTGGTGAGATCTGGTCAGACACAAATACTCTGCACACAATCAAAAACCTTTTTGAAGTTAAATTTCACCTGGTATATTTTGTAAATATTTCTGTAATGATCTTGAATGCATAGATCAATTGTAAATAAAGCGTTTGAATGAATCCTGATTTCCACATTGCTTATTTTTACTGTGTTAGGTTCTCTGGAGCAAAGCATTTACATGGTAATGAACACTATTATACACGATCTACCATTTCTATAAATATGTAGATCCTGTTCTATCCATTAACAAGAAGAGGGCCAAAAACAATAGAAGGTTTACTTAAGTTTAATTTTTTGACCATTTCATGTTCAATGCTCAAAAGTGAAATCATTTAATCATCCTAACAATAATATGTCAAGAGGCAATCCTCTAAATAGATGCACACAAGAAATGCATTACAAAGGATGTAAGCACAGACAGTAAGAGCATGGTGTGTAGTTAAAAGCAAAGGAGAAACAAAACTGTTTTCTAGTCTAACAAAATTTAAAAATACTACACTAGACTTCTTTGCTTTCACTATTAACAGTCCAGCCCAGGTAGGGTGGTGCATTTCAGGATACGGAGATAATTTTTGACTTTGTTGGAGTCTCTGCGGAAGCAGTAGAGTAGGTCATGATGGTCCAGTGAGTTAAATTCTCCTTGTGTGTAGGAGGAAAGGGCAGAAGAAGGGACCAAACTCTCAGGAGAGATGTTACCCACGGTGTTACCAAGCACTCCGAATTGCTTCATCTGAGGATGGACAGAATAAAAAAATGATGGTACAAAGGAATGCATGAAGACACATTCACTATGTCACAGAAAAAAAATTATATTGTGAAAAGTGAATATAGTGTTACATTCCAACTGGAATGTGATACATTGCAAATAACCAAGCATATTCAAACATTATAATATATAAATCCAATCACTGTTAGATATGACCACACAACACATCTACAATTTCAGAAATCATAGGTGAATCCTTACCTTCTCTGTCATTTTTGCCACTCCATCCCTCAGCTCATGAACCATATCACTTATCTCCAGTGCCTTGTTGGAGCTGTAGTGGTTGAAGTCTTGATTTTGATCCCGAGACATGCTCTGGTAGAGTTGAGACATGGGGTCACCCCAGGCCCCCAGCAGCCTAAGGATCACCTCTGTCAGTTGTTCTCTCTGCACGTGAAATAATTGCTTAAATAACTTAAGATTATTATTATGATTATTAATAAAGTAGCTGCCAAAACCAAAAGGCTGCAGTGATGCCACTTATGTGCATGAGTAGCTATGACCACATCAAAAATGAACAAAAATGAATGCTCACCCCAAGCCTTTGTGCATTCTCCTTATCATCTGGTGTTAGTATGCCATATGTGTGGCACTTCCTTTTTCCTATGAGATTCTTACTGGGAAAGAAATATTGCTCCTGCAAAGATGGACACACATATCACACATAGTAATAGCAGGGCTTGATAGCCTATTCAAAGAGTGACTGATGATGATGAATGGAGGTCAAAAGTGTGGTGAATAGTGATGGATGATCAATGTCAGAGCTGAAAAGAAGAACTCACAAATTCAGAGTGCAGATCACTGGAGATACCATGCATTCTTGAAGACTGTTGTATGACCCTGTCAAAGAGATCTGCCAGGGTAGGAACATGGCATCCAGTCTGTCCATAGGCACAAATTGGGGCAGTTCCAACCCTCATGGAAAGCTCCAGGCATAGCAGTGTTAGGCTAGGAAACCAAACTGAAGGGAAAAACTTCTAGTCACTTAAAAACTATAAGAATACACATAAATAAAAACGTTGTACTTAATTTGTCATGTTGCCAGCTTACCGTTTTTCATGGTTCCTTTCTTGCAGCGGAGCACCAGATGAGTAGAGCACTTTTTGCACCAGAGCTACTCTTGCTGAAGCAAACTCAAACAGTGAGGACGTTGCTGATTAAACAAATTGGTTTTGTTCAGGATAAAAAAAAGTGCTTTTTCTCTTTGCACGTCATACAGCATGCTTCACTTAGTCATCTGCTCAGCCAAGAGCAGACAAAGCTAACCCCAGGCACAATACACAATGTCAGTTTCTAATGAACATAAGTGTATGGGATAAATGAAAACTTTTATTTTGTTGTGCTGAGCTCTGCAGCATTCTTATGTGTATTAAGAAAAATGACTACAAATTAAATTAACTGATCCTATTAAAAGTATAAATGGATGTGCAGTTTTTTTCTAACAACTAACACTGTTATAAACCGAAACATTGGAAATAATTAGCCAAATCTGGGCAACTTAGAATATTCAAATCCCTTTAAAGCACTCAACATTTTAGCATTTATTTTAAACTACAAGACTGCTGATTAGGAGCACAACATAAAAATGAATAGTATCACAAAAAAGTATAGAACAAGCCCATTGTTCAACAACCTCAGCTAGAACTGTTCAGCTTGGTAGTGAAAACGAGCCAATTCAAATGTAAAGTGAGTGATTTATCTCACTAGTGCTTCATTGTATAGTTAATTCCACAGGCCATCTACAGCGAATACTGTTATGAGTCATTCTTGCCAGTTTTTACTTCTTATCCAAAGCAACTTATCAGATTATGGAATGTAATGATGGAAAGTCAGGTTTTTAACCCACATGGAATGAATGCACACGTTAAATTTTTACATTAATGTTATTTTATACCCTTTTCAAAACCTGCAATGCAAAGGGACTACAAATCAGTGTTTTGTTTCTCCATTAGCGTGCCACCTTGTGGTGAAATGAGTGGTAACATATAGAGGGCAACAGAGGAGGCTCTTATTCATGACTCCATGGCTGCAAGAGTTTCACTGTGCGTTTGCCACAGGATAAGGTCTGATTAGTATATGTTACATATTACAAAAACTCAGCAAGTGTATTTTCTCAGAACAAATATTTTATTGTCATCTTTTTCAACATAACATGCACATAAAAAAGATGTCATAAATATACCACAATATAATCAACAATCAATTTACATTTATTAATATTATGTACAAGTTTGAGTGCATTCTATGACTGTGTGCTGTCAGAGCAGGGATAAGGTAGTGAGCTTTTGAGGGAGGCAAAAAGGTATTAATGTCTGAGTCCAGCTCTGTTCTCATATCCATTTAGCTTACTTTACAAATTCTCACTAACACCCAATGCCAAGAAACTCCCCACCTCAAAAGTTCTTGTGTTTGTCTTAAATCATGTTCTTATGTGATTCTACACTTAAGAAACAGACTCAGAGCTCCACTTTTTACATGCAAGTATCAGTCTGTTCAACATCTGTGGTGCTTCCACTTGCGAGTGGCCACTGCAATGTTTGCGTCTTTTTTGTGCCATGGGAAGAGACGAGTGAGAGCAAGGGTGCCATCAGGCTGTACGGAACCAGTCAGCACATAGAGCTGTGACCGTCCGGGGCGCACGAGGGCATTGGCACATCGAAGGTTGATGAGGAGCCACTGCTGGAGTAGGTGCTGGGTGTCGTAAGGCAGCAGGGGTCCCTGGCGGACAAACTCAACCCGGCCCTCAACCTCAAATTCAGGCTCTCCCCCAGGTAGGCGACGACGATGAAGTTTGGCGGTCACGGCTGTGTAGAGGAGAAAGAAAATTAATCATCTGGTTTGGAAAATTAAATTGAACAATTTTGAGAAAACATGCCCAGATAAGATACAACAAACAACACAGCTTATTGAAAGAACTCTGAAACTTACCAAAGTCATGTTGGCAAAAAGCATCCAGGACTGTTTTCATTGCAGGAGCCTCTTCCACAGAGGGACAGTTTTGGCAGGCAGGTTTGGGCAAGTCTGTGATAACAAATAAAACATGTAATAAAACTGTAGCAAAGCACTTTGGTAGTCCCTTCTGCCAATGATGAAGTAAAAAAAGAAAGAGCTCTAATAGTCTGTGATCAATGCGTACCTTTGGCAAAGTGGCTAAATTTTGCGTGGGGAGAAAGGCACGTTTCGTGCTCGGTAGGAAAGCGGTCACAATTCAGTGCCTCGGGCCATATGTGACCCTGGCAGGCGAGCACCGGGGCACAGCTGTCCCTAACTGCCACACAGAGACTACGGCATGGCTGGATAAACCTGAAGGCAAAAAAAAAGACAAAATGTTACAAAATGTTACATAATGAACACAAAATACACTGCAATGATGATAAAGTTAAAAACATACAGTCAGTGATTTGTTTATTTCACAGTAAAACAAAAAAGACCAAGAACTGTAAAATCTCCTTACGTGTCAAGACAGACGGGGGCAATGAGGGAGCAGAGGAAGGCCTGGGCTTGAGGGTGGCAGCCCGTCTGCAACAGGGGCCTCCAGTCCTCTGAACGCGGCACCACCTCGCCTTCCAGGTTGCTGTGACCCAAGAAGTTGGGCAGCCGCATCTCAGAGTACCCAACATCTTTGCAGACCTTCATCTGGTTGGGGATAGTGACGCAACGAGTGGACTGACCCATGTCAAATGCCATTGCAGGACAGGCCATAGCCAGGAGAGCCACGGTGAAGAACACAGCCATTCTGAAGGGTTTGCAAAAAATCCACAGCTTTTACTGAGGCTGCTTGTCGTCCTGAGTCTCTGCTGTCCTTGAATGGCTCTGTAGCTGCTGCTGCTTGCTTTATATACAGCAAGGTCAGCCAGCCCCATCAGCCTGTAAGTCTGTTATCAACTACCTATCAAAGACGCAGAGACGATGTGTTTGGAGACAATGGCTTGTTTTGTGATGACTGCAGACGGGGGGGGACAATGGGCAATCACTGCCCAGCTTTTACTGCCCCAGTCACAGAAGGTTGAAGAAGGCTGCTTTATTTGCTTTTATAAGAAAATGTGAACACCTCATGAAAAACTTAAAAACTAACTGTTGGTGGTCAGTGTAAAAGTGTAAAATATGTGGCTGAAATTGTGAAGAGTGAATGTGTTTGTTATTTTGTCCACTCCCTATATTATATCCTTCTGAGAACAATAAATGAAAACAAATTCCTGTAAAGAGACTTTGCTGAGGGCTACAAAACTGCATCTCTCAAAGTTCCTTCAGAGAGAAAGGTTTGTGTAGACAGACAGTCTCCTTCATATTGCTCATCTCTTTCATGTGTCCCTGCTTCCTAATTGGAGGGTTTTCATCTGCACAGCCTCCAGTTCTCATTAGCAAAGCTTACCTGGCTTTGATCTGACAATAACACAAAATAATATTTGCTTATCTGTTTGATGCATCATCAGCAAAGACATTTCTGCATCATCATGAAAACATCAACTTCTGTGGTAGAAAGTGACTTTGTACAACTTCAGTGTGATGCTGAAGACGTATTCCCTTTCTTAAAAGGACATATACATACATTTATTAAGACAAGAGGACCTGAACTGAAAAAAACCTCTTTGTATTACCACAAATAACCATAGAAACAAGCAAATTCTGCTGTCAGGCAGACGCATAGACATTTAGTTATAACATGCCAACATCCCATTCGAGACACTGGAGATCTCGTCCTGAGATGCAGACCAGGGGCACAGACGTAAGTGCTAATTTGTCTCGTTCTCTCTGCCCGATGTATTTAAGCCTCTTAATTTAACAATAGAACTACATTACAGCATTATCGTATTTGTCTGGATGTCGTCTGTCCCCAGATTTAGATGTGTATCTCGGGCTGATGCCTGTGGGCCTTTTTGAGGACTTTCCCTCATGAATCAGAGGTCTCTATCCCACCCAGCCTGCCATGGTCATTGTGGCCTCTGGAATGGCAAAGTAAAGCCCATTCTGACTGATCCAACCCTAATTTCTGTGCCTGTATACCAGCCCTGTCTGCAGCAAGGACGACACTCCTGCAGCCAGCCAGAGCCCTCCATCGGCCCCAGCTTAGCCAACTTTTACAGCCTCATCTGATGAGTGGAGCCTGGTTCCAGTTTGGGTAGACGAGTACAGCCCGTAAGAGGGGACTAACTGGGCAATTAGAGTCACAGACCAATTTGGGAGAACAATAGGTGCACACATTTAACAAGCTCCCCCTGCCAGGAGCCCAGCAGGGGTCTGTTGTTGATCCTAATGGCTGCCCTGTAGACACTGTGTCTGTCTTGGTAATGTGTTGCCTGCCCCTGCCTCAGTTAATGAGGTGGTGATAGTGTATGATACGAATGGTTGGGCACCTGTCTGTCAAACACACCTCCAGTAGACAATCTAGCCAAGAAAGTACTTCTTGTAATTCCAATTCTAAAAAGATAGCTGAAATCTTTAAAAACAAAAAAATAGGAGGCCCAACCGAGGTCAACCATTATCCTATGAAAAAGATTGCATAACAACTGTACATTGCTGTTCACTGACCCATAACACACCTCCATATTAATGTCAGTTTCAAAAAGTCTTAAATGTTAAAGAGTTCGGTCTAGACCTGCTCTATTTGAAAAGTGTCCTGAGATAACTTCTGTTATGAATTGGCGCTATACAAATAAAATTGAAAATTGAAATTGAAATTGAAATTAAATGGACACCCAGCAGACAATCTGATTCAGGTAGTATTTTTTAATACTTTTAAAAAAAGGGAGAAAGCTGAAAGTAGATCATCTATCATCTGCCATCATCTAGAGACAAATCTTGGTGCTGCTCCGTAGATAGTAAATAATGAAACAACTCAACTCTCCCTTCACTACAACAGCAGACCTTGTCAAATGTAACTAGAATATGGGTGTAATGTCTGGTTCTCAGGTATTAATTCTACATTTAAACATAACATTAAAAAAAAAAAAAAAAAAAGGGCTATCTCAAATATTCTAGCACGGTCGGTCACTACAGTAGTGCAAACAGACCAATTTCAAACATTGACCTTGTCAACTAAAGTCTTCCTGCTCCAATATGCAGCTATTAAAGAGGTTTGTAGATTCTGAAGTCACTCCAAAATCATTTGAATAGTACAGTACAGTCTACACTAG